GTTTTTAATCATTTCTGCTTATTGGCTCTAAAGGGGAGCTGCTTTCTGTTTGATGGTTGGGGTCTCTCCTCTTGCGAGGTTTATATTTTGCTTGTCAGGTTTTCATTTTGCTGCAGGTCGAGTTCAATTTTTAGTTTCACTGTTCCTGACTCCTATTTGCTGTTTTGATATCACGGTTTTTGCTGGTTTTTCTCTGCCCGTGGAGATGATTTTGGAGAACTCTGCTCATCTGAAGACACCTTTGTACATGATTTCTACTTTACTTTTCAAGTTACTTCTCAAGCTACACAAATCACAGACTTACTTATTTTTTGGCCTTTTGGTTTTTTTTTTTTTTTGGGCATACCTGTATTTTGGAGATTCATTTTAGTGTGAGTTGTACTGTGGAGAGAGGAACCCCTAGGGGTGTGTCAATTGTACTTTTTGGGTTTCATAGACGGGGATCCTCCCCCTCCCTTTTCTTGTCCCTTATTTTGAAATTAACGTGTAGAGAGTCACCACTGCTCTTTCCCCCAAATATATATATATATATATATATATATATATAATCAAATTTAACAAATATTTAATTCACTTTATCTTAATTACATTTTAGTTTAAATCAATTATAAAAATAATTTTCTTTTGCATATACATCCTTTTCTGCAAAATGCATTGTTCAAGCGCATTGAATTGTGAGTTATCACCTCACAAGCAAGAAATTTTTATATTTCACTTTTATGCCTTTATATTTCACTTATATGCAGCAGACAGGGCAATATGAGTGTCCCCAAAAAATTTTGATGTTTCAGAAATGACCTGATCCATTTCATGTCATTGCAATTATAGCATTTTAAACCTGATTTGCACATCTCATCTATAGTTTGTTATTATTGTCGAGTGGAGATTTGACAATGTGAGATGACACGCCCCATGACAACCCCTCCCCAAACCAACATGAGATGTAACAAAAGCTAGTGTGATTCATATAATTAAAAATATCTCCAATACCTATCCTCGTATCCTCATCATGATGTTAGTATGATTTGATAAACTCAATCAATTAAATTCACCCAAACAATACAAAACACGTTATTTCAATTTACAAAAATCCAATAAAATCGAACCATTCAAATTAAGCAAAAGCAATCCAAAATAATTCATTTAAAAATATTTACAAAGCTTCTATAACACACAAATTTTTAACAAAAAAACATAAAGTTCATCTAATATCTTAGATCAAAATTTATCCATCTTAAAATAGTTGTACAATAAAATATAATCACAAAATTTAATTGATTCTACCCAATTTTAAAATCTCTTTCCTGTAAAAATAGTTATAACATTCTAAAAAACATGAAACTTGGCTAGACAAACAAATCTAATATAGAACGCAAATACTGAAAAATAGAAAAAAAAGGAATGTAAATCATGAATGGACATAATTATAAACTATGTACAAATGATCAGTATATTATTATAATATTGAAAACTAAAGAAATCCTTGCACAAGAAGATAATAGTATAATTGTACAGGTATTTTTTTCTCAGTATATTATATCAATAAATGACTCCATTACTTGTATTTTTTTTTTTTTTGGATAAAAGAGTACTCCTTATTTATTACACACAAAAAAGAATTACAAAAGGAGACAAGAGGACCTGGCTAACAACCCACAACAACTCACGCAAGTAAATAAAACCTTAGGATCCTCTTCCCAAAAAAAAAGAAAATACAACACGCCCGCAAAACAAAACAGGATAAAACTTGTATATTAACTTAAATGCATCAAGTCCTTCGTTTGTTTAATTATTATTTATAGCCTTATATTTTACTTTACCTTCAGAAAAGTGTTAAAACCGATTATTTAGATTTATTGGCCATCTTAAGATAATGAGTTAAAAAACCGCACTACAATATAGGATATAAACTCAGCTAAAGGTTATATTCTCCAAGTCAATAAAGCACAAATGAAACTTAGCATTATCACTGTTGAACAACGTAGCTGACCATTTTGTATCTGAAAGAGATCTTTTGTCCCATTAGAAACTATTTTGCCCCAACTACATAAATATCATAAATATATCATTGCCAACTTATTCCCATACATTTACATTATTAAATAATTTAATAAACTTGTAATTCAATTTAAACAATATTGAATAACAATATATACAAATATGTAGTTTATAGATACCATGTCTTTATTTAAAAGTACTATTAACTAACAGATTAATTGAATAATTATAATGAATTTAATTGAGAATTTGTATCGTCAAAATTTATGTGAGATCATTTACACATAAGTAATAAACTATAGGCATGTTTGTTTTTTACAGTATAAAAAATTTATACTGAATTACACCAAATTATCTAATTTACATATAATAACACATGCAAAAGACTAAATAAAGTTTAGTTTTTGTATTACAATTTGTACATTTTACCTGACGATTTAACCATTCAAATTAAAACTTTCGAAATGTTTTTCTTTCATCAACAAAAAACCTACCACACTAAGTAGAAATTGATTCTTTAGAAAATAATAAAACTTAAATTTTAAGCAAAAAAACCTAACGACTTATCTTACCCACTCCATTCTCTTTGTCGCCTTCCTCTCCTCTTCTTGGGAAATTAGGATATCTATTTAATAAGCTTTTATATAATTATTCATACAAACATACATATATTCATATATCCATACATACATACATGAACATACATACATGCACATACATATATTTATAGCACGCACACAAAACACATACATAGCATTCATAAATTCATCTATACATAGCATCCATATATCCATTCATACATAGCATCCATATATCCATTCATACATAGCATACATGCATACATGCACGGATGCATTTGTACATGTATGCAAGCATACGTACATGCATTGGATACATGCATGTATGCACTCATACATGCATGCATATATCCATACAAGCATGCATGCATACATGCATTGGATACACATCCATCCCATCCTGACATAACTTCCTCATTTTTAATAATTAGCTTATAGTTCTACCTGTGTAAGTACATACATACATACATCCATACAACTTCATAACTTCCTAACATGTCAATATGAACGTTTTGATGTATAAAAAGCAATAGAATGATTTGTTATGATTTTCGAAAAAATTGAACTCTTTGTTACATTGATTTGGAGTAATTTTGCACGTGGACCTTATAAAAGAAAATGTCAATACATACTTCATTTTGAAGTATAAATACATCCATACAACTTCATCCTGACATAACTTCCTCATTTTTAATAATTAGCTTATAGTTCTACCTGTGTAAGTACATACATACATACATCCATACAACTTCATAACTTCCTAACATGTCAATATGAACGTTTTGAAGTATAAAAAGCAATAGAATGATTTTTTATGATTTTCGAAAAAATTGAACTCTTTGTTACATTTATTTGGAGTAATTTTGCACTTGGACCTTACAAAAGAAAACGGTTATTACATGGAAGGTCCCCTCTAAGCATTTGTGGTGCTTCAAACTCGTCATGTAATCCATTATTGGCTTTGGTTGTGGTTGAGGCATTAAAATCTAGACTAGTGAGGAGTGGCATTCATTTTGATTGAGTTGAGTTATGCAGCCGGTATCGAGGTTAATAATCATCATCATTAGCTTTATCCCAACTATTTGGGATCACCAATAAAATTCACATTTTTCTTTCACTCATTCATCAGGGTCATTGCCTAAGAGATATCCTCTGCAAATAATTTTGATGAACCTATACCCTTGTTATTGTAGATAGGTTTACAATTTTCTCTTTCTAATCCTCAAGATACTAGTTTTATTTACTTATCTAACGAATGCATATCCCACCCTTTGCTAAGTAATGTCTAAACCACTTAAAACTATTTTTGATAATCTTAACTTCCAAAGATATCATTTAAATTATTTCTCAAATATAGTAATTCTTTAATTCCCCTTCTTAATTTTGTAACACATTCAGTTAAGCCTCATTTTTGCTACATTTGCTTGGCTACTAACATCATTACTGGGTTCCAACAGTCAGATCCCTAAAGAGCAACCGACCTAATTGTAATTTTATAGAAGTTATCTTCTCTATATATTCTCTTATCATAATATACTAACAAATTAATTCTTTATTTTAACCAACAAAAGTTATTTCTAGAAGTTATATCCTCATTGCAATGTATACTAGATGAAAGGAACATAAACCTATCATAGCTAGGTTGTTATAGTCCTCTAGCTATAGGATCTAGTACGCATTAATAATACAACCATCAATTAAATCTTCAATCCACTAATTTTATGCTATGTATCTTCTAAACATTTCTCCATTGTTCAAGCTTTACCACTTTGTTAAAATGCTCACTAATTTAAATTATATCATTTACGAAAACCATTTTCTAACCTAGCAAGGCCCATCATTTTGAATATTTATCGTAAACATCTCTCAAACCAGAAAAAATAAACGTTAACTCAGGGTTGGTCATTGACATAACTCTAACATCAAACAAAATTTTTTGTCACTACACAACCATTTCTAATAATAGTTCGTGCTAAATCATAATTACCTTTATAAGCTTTAACATATATTTGACACAAAATTACAATGTTTTCTGAGAGAGTTTGCAGAAATTCTACACAACCATAGCAAAAAATCTGGCAATAGATCTACTATCTTTTTGCAGTATCACTCTTGGGTAGATTAATGTTTGCCATGATTCAAGCATGCAGCTCATTTCTACAATGCTTAGAAATTTGAAGCTTTTTAGACCAGTTTTGAGACACAAAGCCCTTCTAAAGAAACATGGCATGGATCCCTTTAGTGACTTCCATACTATGGCATAAATCAAAAGGTTCATCATTGAAGAATTTAAGCCATTTAACACCTTGAATGCATCTCAAGATTGATGATAATATGCTAAATAGAATCAATGATAAAATGCTACTTAAAAACTTAACAAATAAAAGTAAAGAGAAAATAGTTTAAACTAGTTGGATTGCTTACACAAACGACATCATTCTCCTCAAAGATGCTGCGCATGTTGAGTTCATCAACAGCATTCCTCCGTCTCTAAATTTTCACAGTAAAAAGAGGGGCAGAAATAGATTAGTGGGTGATGCCATCGGACATGTTGCATAATATTCAAAGCAGGAGGAAAAAAACAGCCAAGTAAATTTCAAATTGATGAGAAATCATTAAGACGTAAACCATCAAAATAAAACTAGAATTATGTGGCTATGAAAATCTCAAATAAGAAGCATACAATAAGAAAATAAATAAACAACATTATTTATTTCGACTGTGTAAACTATTGAGCAATAGAAAGTTAATCAATGACTTTATTTGACTAGGAAAACAATGAACCTGACTACCTTGAATAAATTTGGCTTTACCAATGATCACTATATTGGAAGAGAAAAACATTAAAAAAAAAAAAATCATCTGCATAACCATGATAGAAGATCAACACTAGTTAATGATGTTGCATCAGCAGCAACAGTACCTACTGATGCTGCCTTATCTATTGTCATAATTTAATAATTAATAATTACTAATTTTACGGGATATTTTGCAAATTTAATAAATATAATTATAGCTAATTGGTATTTAGTAGATAATAAATAACATTATTAGTATTTAGATGTCATACCACATAATAAAGCCCTGTTTTTTTTCAGTACTTCTGTTGCTACAATCTGTGCTGAGAAGGCAAGAAAGTGGTAGGAGATAATATGTGATTTATTTTAGAAAGTTCAAAATCAAGATGCTGAAGCTAAGGAAAAATAAAAAGAATGCCGAATTTAGGAAAATTCCCGTTCCTTTTTCTTGTTAAAGTGGTACCACCCCACATAATAACTCCCAATCAAATGAAATTTTTTAAGAACTGAAAGCTATGACCCCAAAAGAGAAATGTCAAAATCTACTGCAATGAGCTAGAGATCATTTCCATGAAGAAATTGCTCACAAGTTTCATTCAGCAGCCGTTCCATTTAATTTAGCAAGAAATCCCTATTATTTAATGCATTATCATATGCAATCAAAAATACAATTAGTGGATATATTTCTGACACCTATCTATGGTTCCTTGAGGGTGTGCAAGGATCATAGCAGGAGTAGGATGGTAGCAAAATAGGTAATAGAGGAGGGAGGAGTGATGCGGCTGAAATTCGGCGCAATCGGCAGGTGGACAGCTGCTTGACAATAGAAAAATACTGTTGGATAGTGGAACCAGCGGTAGAGATCGCCACCTTGACAATCAGGCTCTAGACAGACAACCTGAGGAAGAATTAAGGATACAGTACCCAAATAAAAACAAACTAGAGAAAACAACATCTATTGCATAAACCAAATGCTAAAATTTCTCAAACCAAATAATAACATGTAAAAAGGTTCCAAGCAAACTAACCCAAATAGAATTTTAATTAAAGTAAGTTGGATCATTGAAGGGTTTTGGGCCAGTCCATAAGGGCTGAAAAAGGTGAACAGCAATTCTAAACTTGAATTTCTCTAAAGAATCTGCAAGAAATCACTCCGTCAGTCTAATCCATACCAAAATCACCTTCCTTGAAAATCATAACTTTTTGGGACTTATTAGCCTGCTTGTGCTATTCCTCATACTCCATGGGTCGCATCCGATAGTTGGGTCAATTGAGGAGCACTGATCCTAGAAGATCTATGGCATGTTGGATTTCCCTCAGGAGTAGCAACCCAGAAGATGGACTTCGATCAAGGCATCTTGATACTCTCCCGACAGGGGCTACTTTATGTCTTGTACCAGCTCCTTAGATTCATTATTTTTTAGGACCAACAATGGTAGTCCTACATGTGTTTCTCTCAAGGTCTGTCGAAAGGTAGTTTGTAACACCATATTCTCAAACTCTGCTTGGATGTCCATTACCTCAGGTTCCTTCCAATGTAGCAGTATGATGAGCATAATATCCTTGGTAAAAGAATATGTATTATTATGGCCATCATGATGTACCATCATGATGTATACCATGATAGTACCGCCAAAGACAGTCTAACATAATGTGACAAGCATCCATGGATACCAATCACACCACACCTGCACCTAGAACTTGTCTCCAATAGAGAATTTCATGAAGCATCTCCTTTCAACTGTGATCTCATACATTTTCTTCAACAAAGATGGAAAAAAGATTGAGAGCACTTCTTTGTGACCAGGTTCAACTTGTCAACCATTTGGGTGGATACCACATTCTAATAGTTTTACGTATCTCTGATAGAAATAAACATTTCCCCTCATAGTGCAACGGGTATGAAAGATATTATGATGGAGCTATTGTTACTATCTCGTGAGCTCAATGTAAAGGATCCATCAAACAATTAGCATCTCTCTCTCATCGGCTAAAAGTTGATACTCTAACATCCTTATTTTCTCCTATGTGATTGTTCATTTCTTCCACTACTCCTTACTCCATGAAAGAAATCAGTCTCTTATTTGGGCAATCAAATGCAAATTGTGACACTTAAAGCACTTTCTAGGTGAGACTGATTTGAGAATGTTGGCGGCCTCCACATTTTCTCCACTCTGGACTGATCTCTCATGATAAACCACCTCGTGGGCTCCAATGTGTGTAATCTTAATGTTTTATCATGGGGTTGAGTTTTATATGTAAGGTGTGGTGATCCCTTAGTGACGATATTATTTCTAAAAGGTCAAGAGCTTTAGTTTAGATAGAACGTGTTCGGACAATCTTTAGTAGAGGTAAGAAAGTTAGTTTTTGAAATTTTAAATTTAGGGATAGAAATTACGGTGGGAATGGTTAAATTATTCAATTGATCAAAATTTTAGGTTATGTTAATTTTTTATTTAGGTGAAGGAAACCAAACACCTAAAAATTTTGGGTTTTTAGGCTTTGAAACAAAATGACACTGATCTAGAGAGCCTAGATGGAGTGAAACGATCAAGGGATTGAGTAGCATAGTAATAGGATTGGTAACAAAGGAGAGAGGAATAATGGAGCTAAAATTTGGCACAATCGGCGGGTGGACAGCCACTTGATAGCAGAAAGCTGCTATTGGATTTTGGAACCAATGAAGTATACATAAGAGATTGTCGGACGTCTGGAAGAGATCATCACATCAATCTAATTAGGTTACAGACACACCACCTGAGAAAGTTCTAAGGGTACAGCACTCCTATAAGAATAAACTAGATAAAACATCTATTGCACAAATCAAAAGTCAGAAGTCCTCAAACCAAAAAATAACATATAAATACATTCCAAGCAAATTAACGCTAATAGAAATCTAAATGAAGTAAAACCATTGAATGGCGTTGGGCCAGTCCATGGAGCTTGGAAATGGTGAATAGGTCCTTCAATTGGACTGTTATCCATATTTGAACATCAGTTCCTACAAAAGGAAGGTGTGCAACCCGTCCTGCGACATTCACCCGCATCATTCCTTGTGATTAAATTTTTGAATGACAATTTTTTGTATAACTTCAGAGGACCAATTTGCTTCAAAGAAAAAGGTAAAAACTAAAAGAATGATAAGAGTTTGTAACATAGGCTTCGAATGAGAAGGGAGTTATCACAATTTGAAATGATTGTTAGCCACAAAAGAAAACTTCTTATTAATTTCATTGGTCTCACAGACTAATTTTTCATAAAGATCATCAATTATGAAGAAACATATAAAGAAAAATTCTACATTATGAATCAGATCATAGAAATGATTATGGGAGAATAAATGTTGAAAGAATGATGGAGTCTATGACAAAGGCTTGGAATGAAAAGAGAGTTGTCATTGTTTGTAATGGATGTCAAACGCATAAGAAAAATTCTCATTAATTTCATGGGTCTCACTGACCTATGTTTATAAAAATCATCAATAATGAAGGAGTATATAAAAATAAATTATGCATTGTGAATCAAATCAAAGAAATGATTATAGGAGTAGAAGCAAACTAAGTGGTTTAAGTAATCAATGGCAATACATATATATATAGAGAGATATATGAACATTAATTAAAACTGGATACCCTCGCATTTTTTCAACCCCTTGTATTGTTCACACATTCAGGGCCCATTTGGGGCAGGGGGTGTTTTTTGAAAACGTCGCGGTACCGTTTGGATCGCACGTTATGCCCACTTATCCAAAAATGCGGTTGGATTTTTACATTAAACACAGGTCATGGGCCGCATTTCAGGATAAGTTGTTTATCCTGAAACACACAAGATGCCTCAAACACACCCTCAATCTTGCATTAAAGAATACTTTCAATATTGCATTAAACAATATTTATGCTCCAAAAAAGATAAATGGAAACAAAATCACTTAAGAATGCAATTGGATAGATAATATTATAAGAGATGTCATCTTTACAAGCACTTTCATCTTGAATCGCGCAATGTGATTATCAATTTCTAATAATTTATAAAACTGAAAAATGGTGGTCATAACAAAAATTTGTTTTGCATCAGAAAAATTATGATTAGATAGTACAAAATAATGAAATAATAACAACAGGAAATGAATATTTGTGTCAAGTGGAGCATGCAGTAATCCTTATTGAAGGAGTTTAAGGACATTCTGACAAACAGTCTACCACCCGAGCTACCTCCCCCAAGAGAGATACAATATAGCATAAATCTCATTCTATGATTGATGCTCCCCATCCAGCCAACCAACCAACCTACCATATGTGACTAGCTGAGTATCAAGAGCTGCAATTACAAAAATAGATTGAAGATCTCATGGCCAGGGAATTGGTTTGTGAGAATACCAACTTCTATATTATACTAGCTCTGATAGTCTCAAAAAAATGGGCAACGAAGCACGTGCATTAATAGTAGACCGGTGAACAAGATCAACATCAATTACCAACTCTTTATTCCACAAATGGATGATTTGCTAGATCAATTTCATGAAGCAACCTTCACTGAGATCGATCTACGCAGTGGCTAATATCATATTCAAATGAAAAACGAAGACAAGTAGATGATAGCATTCAAGAATTGGGATATGGGTTGTGCATGGACAATCATGTTTTTTGACTTACCCAATACCTCACGTACTTTCATACAACTAATGAACTAAGCTTTTTTAGTATTTATTGAAAAATTTGCAATTATTTACTTTAATGAAAATTTAGTTTACAACCAATCATCCTATGAAAGACAATTTGCAACAACTGTGACAGTTTTTTTAGTTCTTCAGATGGGGAAGTTGTATGGTCATATGAAGAGGTGCCAATTTCCAATGTCGCAAACATGGTTTTTGTGGTACATTGTTTCAACGAATGGAATTGAAACAGATCAACTAAGATAGAGGCTATTGTGAATTGGCACAATCTATCCTCTTTCACATGGGTGCACCGGTTTAAAGGGTCGACTTCATTTTACAGAAAGTTCATTAAAACTTTCAATTTCATAGCGACAGGGCAAACCAAGCTTCTTATTTTCAAAGTTAGATGAGATACTAATTTTAATGCATTGAAGCAGCAGATTACTAAGGCTTGTGTCCTAACCCAACCAAATTTCAACCATTTGTTTAAGGTTAAGTGTGATACCTCCTATATAGTAATTGGAGTTGTGTTGACACAAGATGGGCATCCCATGGTCGTCTTTAGTTAAAATCTGAATAAATCAAGGTGAAAGTATTCCACATATGACAATGTGTTGTCATTATGAGAGCCCTCGGTCATTCGAGTCATTATTTACTGGCAAGTGACTTCACTCTTTATACTGATCATAAAACCCTGATATTCCTAAACGGCCAAAACAAATTGAAGTGAAAACATGCCTCTACGGTAGAGTTTATTTCTTCCTTTCATTTTATGCTCAATCTCAAAACTAGGAGTCAAAACAAGGTAGCTAATATTTTGAGCTGCCACGGTCTACTGATCACTAACATGTAGTGAACGGTAATTGATTTTGAGATGCTAAAGGATCTTTACGCAACTAATAAGGGCTTCCACGAGATTGGGCTCATTACTAGGAGAGACCATACAATAAATAACACAGGTCCAATGATAAAATATTCTTCAAAATAAGTTGTGCATTACTAAGACTTCACAGAGAGAAGCTATTTTACAGGACTATCATAATGCCAGGAAATTTTAACAATGATAAGATTCTTTACTTGGTAAAGGAAATCTTCGTTTGGTGTAAACTAACACACGATGTGGCGAAACATGTCAAGCACTGTAAGGTGTGTCACATAGCCAAGACCCAAAGGCAAAATATTAATTTATATATGTGCTTTCTATTCCATAACTATCTTGGGACTAAGTGAGCATGAATTTTGCCGTGAGTCTGTCATGAACACAATAAACCAGAGATTCAATTATTGTGCTAGTAGATTGCTTCTCCAAGATGCGGGCTTCGTACCTTACAACAAGAAGATGGATGCTTCACACATTGTTAATCTCTATTTCACAAAGAGAGATCGTCTTGATGATGTGCTCGAGATATTTCAAATAGAGATGTAAAGTTTTTTAGGACATTTCTAGAGAACACTATAGGATAAATTGGATAAAAAAGTTTCATTTCAATTCACAACTCATCCTTAGACAGACGGCCAAATGAAGATGGTGAATCATTGTTTGAACAAACTTGTAAGGTATTCTGTGTGCAAAAAAAAAAACAAGTTGTGGGACCTGAGTCTTCCTTTGATTGAGTTTGTGTATAATTGATCCATCAATCACACGATAGGCCATAACCCTCTTAATAAAATTTATAGGCAAAATCCCCGGACAACTTTAAAGTTAGTGCTTATACTTCTAATTATTAAGCCTAAACTAATGCAAAGACTACAGTCAAGAAGATTTATGCCTTACATAATCAGATTAATAATAAAATAGTCAAACAACATGCTAAGTATCATAAGTAGGCTAATAAGTTCAAAAATGTCATGATTTTCAAGAAAGATAATTTAATGTGAATTAGGCTGAAAAACAAAAGATTTCTTATAGATTTATTTAGAAAGCTCGGACCTAGACCTCATGTTCATTTAGATTAATAAAAAAATTAAATGATAATATTTACAAGACTAAATGACTTAGTTATTATAATATTTATATCACATTTAATGTTGCTAATTTATCATCATACTATAAGAATTCAGATATTTTCGACGATGAAGGTGAAGCCCCTCCTACCGAGAGAGGATGACATGGTTGGGTCACCTTAGTATAACAGGACTGGAAAAGGCATTTCGCCAATTCAAACTTGGACAAGTTCACTTGCCGCCTCCACAGCGAACAAGTCAATCCATAAGGCCCCTAAATGCTAAATTTAGGATAAAATTAGGGTTTCGCTTCTTCCTAAGTATATACACTGCTTTAGACAAATTATCGGGATGATTATTTTGGTTTATATTATTTTGGAGATTCGTTCTCTACTTTCTCTTGATTTAGAGTGTTGTAACGCTTCCTTTCAAGCGGTATTATTGTATCGTGATCGAGTATAGGTGGTAGACCTTCTCGTGTCTAGTGTATTATCTTCTCTATGTCGTTGGTCCGCTCCTCTACCTCCATCCAAACAGCCAAACACCATTCACCCTTTCATTCACATTATTTCAGGTTTCCCATTCATCCCTATTCCCCTTATAAACATTTCAATATCGACCTTGACCCCTAGCATTATTTAGAAATCCTAGATCAGTGTCATGCTTGATTTGAGTTTTCATCAAAAGACACAACAAAATAAAATAAAATTTAGAGCAATAACCATTAAAGATAAAATATTAGAAAAAAATTATGAGAATTGCATTTTGACCAAAAGAAAAAAATACTAGAATAATTTTACCTGGATACCATCTGGTAAGTTCATTGATTGAAGCATGAGAACTGCATTCTGACTAAAGTTAATCTCGAGCTTCCAGCGTTTTGGAGCAATCTAAAAACGTATAAGCTGGTTTATGGGCAAGGAGATAATTACATATATAATGGAAATTTAAAAAATAGGGGTATTTACATACATATCACACAATTCTCAAGAATTTACATATCTAACACCTAAAAATTCAAATTTACATGCATATCACTCAAATCTCTAACATCAAATCAAAAATAACACCTTAAAATTCAAATTTACGTGCATACCACTCAAATCTCTAACAACAAATCAAAAATACCACCATCAATGCATTTTTAAAAGTGAAATACATCTTTTCATGCATAAGTTTATGACACCAAGGTATTCATACTTTTGGTGTTAGATATGTAAAAACATAAGAATTGTGTGGTATGCATGTAAATATCCCAAAAAATAAAGATCCAAATCAGATGCATATAATCATAAAACATTAAATTTAACTAAGCAAATATGTTTTCTTTAATAACAATTAATCAGCATACTTCCTAGAGATCAGAAGGTTGTACCTCAATGACCCTGCCAACAATTATGTCACCAACCTCTGGCTTGTACCTTGAGGAATTATCATTTTAATATTACAAATATAACTTCCATAAAATAGTGAAGATATTTGATTGACTTTTCTTTGAGAAAAATGCACCTTCAAAAGAAAAAGAAAAAAACACAACATCAAATTTCTAACATTTAATGGATGCAAATACCTGGCCCTTAATGTCCGAACATAAACCAGCTTGTTTACTCGTTCAACAACACCACAAAGGGTAGCCACCACTTTTCCATCAAGCTCCGAAGTCCCATGGCCCCTAAACAAAACAAGACAAGTGAGTTCACAATGAGTATGCCCATATTAATGGAGGCAAGTGAGGCTAACAAACGTAAGAAACAGATACTCAATTGATGAATATACAATAGAAAGGTCGCCATTAGATATTCGTGAGAAAAATTCTTGAGATAAAATGGTAAAAACATGTATGGAAATGATGTCATGAGAAAACTTCATGAAATAACTGAATAAAACTCCACTAATTAAGATGAACCTCACTAACATAGGCATCAATGTGAATATTTGGCAATCATATTTCAATCTGGAATTTTATCACAACAAAGATAATTTTAATTGCATCTCCCTTAGAACTTCAAATCTTGCAGAGCCATTACATTATTATCCACCATACTACCTTTCACACAAATTTTAGCATATTTATAGCAATTGAAAGCTCCTAATGAGAAAACATTATATTGCATGCCAACAAAATGCATGTTAGCCACCCCTCTGTGATGAAACGAAGATCAAAGAATTAAGTTCAACGGCAAAGGGCAATGCTTTAAATCCAATGGCTACTACAAAATATTTCCATAAGGATTGACATGAAAATTAATTTTCATCATCATTAATCTTACCTAATCTACGTTTTGTTTTATAAATCCTCCTTTTGCATTCATTCTTACAAAGTACCATTGAAAGTGCTGAATATATTCTATACCAATTAGCTTAACAATATATATCCATATTACCTAAGATTTATCCCCCTCTCTTCACAATCTTTAAAACTAATTTAATTTACCTTCTAATTGCTGCATTTACTACCCTTCATTATAGATGTACGAACCACCAATTTATTTTAACTACCTTAAATAGATGTTACTCTAACCATTCCTTCAATATAGTCATTTCTTAATTTATCCTTCTTAATTTGTCACACATTCATCTGAAAAATCTTATTTTCATAATGCTTAACTAAGCTATCAAAGGTCCTTTTACTTCAAATTATTTAAAAAAAAACTTAATGCTATAAATTTCAATATTTGAAAAAAAAATAAACCTTCTAACAAATATAAATCAAAGATTTTATAACTATTTAAATTAGCAACTTAAAATTAAACAAATAATCAATTTGATCACAATATATTTAAGTGGTTTGAGAAGGACCATCTATGATTAGTTAATTTTACTCATTTAACTATACTTGAGGAAGCTTATCAATCACTTGAGATGATTTTTAAAAAAAAAAAACTTAAAACAAAAGCTTCCATAAGGAAGTAAAATTTTCTAATTTTAGAACTTCGAAATATAAGAATTAGATATACAAATTTGTTAACCTTCTAAGCCCCACAAGGAAGGTATCACAAAAATATATAATCATAAAAAATAGTTATGAAAAATATAGTACATGCTTTTGTTGTCAAGGAAGTGGTAATCATTCTTTTCAATGCCTTAAGAAAAGAAAAGAAAAGAAAAATATAAGAATTTGGAGCCTTATAATAGTGAGGAAGCCGCAAGAGGATTGATATCCCAAGCAAATAATTCATCGTGGTGACCAATTTATGAATTAATCGTGATGACCAATTTATCTTCAGATTTAACCAAAATGAAAGAATTTTAACTTCTAAGATTTACACAAAGGCATTGTCAGTAACAAATATCTTCATTTATTGTTGATGCAATTTAATTTTATACAAGAGATTCCTTCTATGAATTTGTAAATAAAAAATTCAAGAATAAAAAATATCTTTGATTGTAGTTCATTATACATTATAGTTCTACCAACAACAAATAGTACCTCAAAAATTGCATAATTAGTTCGCTCAATTAAATCAAACAACTTTAAAAAAAAAATTCAAATGAAAATCTAAGAAAGAGTCAGATTTAATTGAGGATGTTCGTCTATAATCTCACACTCAATTTTGATTCATTCCAATTTCAGGCTCATAAAAAATAAAATTTAATACAAAATCATTTGTAATTTTTAAAGAAGATGCAACTTTAAAAAAAGCATTTTAACTATACCTTTTTTATGCATCGAGTGTATTCTTTAAAAAAACATTCATGAGCTAAACTATGATGGTTTGTTTAACAGGATTTAGATTTTCAATTAAAATAAAAATAAAGGTGTTAATCCTAACAGAAGGATAATTGGAATATTTTTCAAACTCTAAAGCTATGTAGAAAACCTCATCTAAATTTTTGGAGAATTAATGGTTAAATTATTTATTAAAACCTTCAATGAAAAAATACTGATAGTATAAAAATTTATAAACAAATCACGATTGGCTATAAGAACTCCATATCTAAGAAAATATTTACTCATACTATAACGAAAAATGTTTAAAATTCTTAATTTTGATACAATTGCTCTCTATAATCAATACAAGAAAATATTGTTCTTTAAGCATATGTTTTAATTTAGAACAATCATATTTTGTTTTAGCAGCCGTAGCTAAAATATTTGAGCAATATTTATTAATTTTGCTTTATTGAAATCAACTCTTTCAAAATCAAACATGTGATATTTTTTAAAAAATTTCATCTAAGGTATCCATCAAATTTAAAATTACCTCAACATTATGCCTCACATTGAATAAAGGAACGCCATTATTAAGTCCATAATATTAAAGCTGAACTTGTTTAGAATCATAAATTAACTGACTTAATTCAAATAGCATATTTTTGTTGTCCTGTTAGCTTATCTTGATATTATGCCTTGTATCTATATGGACGATACAACTTTAAAGCTTTAATATCAAATTTTATATATGGCACATTTGAGTCTACAATTTTAAATGCAAGTATAATATAAAATGCAAAATATGACAAATATGCAAATTTCTCATGCCATAAACTATTGAGCATTAATAATAATTCACTAAGTTTGGAGAAAATAAATAAATGTGATAGAAATCAATTCAATGAAAAACTCATTGGCCTTCTCCTAAAAATACATGTAGACATTCATTCATAATCAAGGAAGTTGTGCAAGCATTTTGAAAATTATCCACTAGGTGAAAATTATAAGGTATCCCATTTAATTAAAAAAAATTACACTTTCAAACTCATGAAAAAATATAAAGAATAAAGAAAATTAGATTAAGAATTCACCCAAAAAATCAAGTATCTCATTTATGGGACATAAACTCCTAAAATCTAAGTCTTTCAAAAATCAGTTGTCATACAAATATTTATAATAACAAAAGCACGTACAATTCTCCCTTACATTGAATCATAGCAAATAAAGAAACACTTACAATAAGTAGCTTGTAAATAGAAAAGTGTCAATAACAAAGATAAAATCTTGGCAAAGCACAATAATAAAAAAGGATGCCTCAAATACCATAAATTTCATTGGAATTAGATAACAAAAGCCTATAGCTCAAAAAACATGAGTTGGGATAAAAGTTGTGGGAGGATGGATATCCAGGCAGCCATCAAATAGAGAAACACAAATACTAATCGCAAGAAAATCATTGACTTCACCAAAGAAGGCCCAATCACTTGGCCATAGATAAGGAATAGATCGATCTAAAAGTTGAAGAAATCCCATTTAGAGGATCTCACAACAAAATTTTATATAATTTTAATGTCATTATCTAAGCTTTGTGATTGGGTAACATTATTTGGATCATATAAAATTTATTTGGCATTCAGATCATGAAGTTTTTTGGTTTATGAAGATCAAAAGAAGTTGAATTCTTTTTTGTGCAGACATTAGGTCCAAAGGGAACATTTATAAAAATAAGCTACCGCATTAGTCAGATTAAAATTGTTAATTACTCCTTGAGATACAAGTCAACCCAAAAGTCACTATTTGAAGAGATTTATGGAATAAACTCATGAAACAACCAACTTCAAGCACTAACTCCATATTTAACAAGAGAAGATATTCACACAAATGAGCTAGCAAACAGTATCAAGGAAGTTCACATACAAATACGAATAGGTAATCAAGAATTACAATAAAAATAACGGTACATTCCACCAACAGTTAGTTAATAAAGAAGGTGAATATAGACATTGTATATTATACAAGGAGAGATTACTCAATACTCATTAGTGTCTGCCACAAGTTCAATATAAAATGATCATTCAATGGTGCATATTAAATAATTTCAAAACAAATGCCTTCAAAGTAGAGTAGAGTTGCCTGATGGGTATATATCAGACATTCAACATATCACAGATACCAATTCAATGAAATTTCGTTGATCAACTGACTAAACTTGAAGTCGGAACTTTGGATGGCACGGAGTATGATGAAGTCGACAATGGGAAAAGTTTTAAATCCCTTGGCTACTTCATTCTGGAGCCAACAGGCAAGCTCTTCATTCCCAGGTCCAACAGCACCCTTCGCTTTTCTAATAAATTAGAGTTTGGGATTGTTTTGAGGCAAATCAAAATTATTAAAAATTGTCTTTTTTGGAGGGATTAAAAAATAAATTACCTTCCAGGTAAAATCACACATCATTTGGACATGTAATCCCGTCATTATATCTATTTAATCAAATCCCAGCAATAGTATCTTTCTCAAATCTCTGTTATTTTTACATCTAATTCAGCGGCTACATCATATTTGAGCTTAAAAGTGCATAAATTCTAAAAGGTGTACAAAAACTCCATGTATAGTGAAATAAAAATGAAAAATCACTAATTAGATAGTATCTCAATGCTTGTAATTCTTCATAATTTAATACATCATCGCTCATGTCATGCCTTACGAACACATAAAATTTGAAGCTTTCCTGCTAATTGTGTTGAAATGAAAAAAGCACCTAATGGCTAATCCAAGCAGCAAAAGGGGACCAGTATTGACATTCCAAATTTAGTTATAAACAAGATTTTCAACCAAAAGACCAGCAATTTCAGACTTTTAGAATCTTACAAAATATTCTCAAGACACATTACAAACTTTCAACGAAACTTAAGATTAAGAAGCATTCAAATAAATTAATATGACCCTTGTATTGACTTACTTGAGAATGCCATCTTCACCGTTAACCGGGATCGTGTCTGAGACAGTGACTACGAGGGTGGATGAAGACGCTTGAGAAGCAAGATCGGATAGATGTTGGAGAGCAGCTTGCAACCTCACCTTTTGTGTTTGATTCAGTGAAACTTGAAGCTCCCTCATCATCTGTTCTTTGAATTCCTTTGCTTCTTATATTCTCTTTAAGGCTCCCTCTGCTCTTCTGATTAGCACTTCTTTCACAATTTAAGGTTCATTAGAGATGAAGTTGTACAACTGTCGGAAAATTTGCAGTTGAAAGCAGAATAACTGCTTGCTGTAGTTTGAAAAATCCAATGGTCAGATAATGTTCATAAATTCAAGAGTTATTGTTATAGTGCAATGCTACTGTGTTATATGCTCAAATATTTAGAGTGCCATTATTCTTAGTATCATATGAAAAAAATGAATATCACTTCAATTATTCTTTAAAAAATATAATAATTAGCATGGAATTTTTGCACATTATGAGCTCCAAAAATCTAACCCCCCTCTTCTAAGAAGGTTAATTATTATGGATCAAGCTTTAAAAAGATAGATTGAATTTTGGGACATTAACATGGATACCACACAATCCTTATGTATTTACAAATCTAACACCTGAACCTTGATTTTTACATTTCTAGCGCTTTAATTTTTCAATAACATCAAAAAATGCAACTATCACTAACTTCTAAAAAAATGAAATGCACCTTTTAAAGGTAGAGTGGTATAAATTTAAAAATTAAGGCTTATATGTTAGATATGTAAATAGATAGAAATTGTGGTACGTACGTTATCCAAAAATTTCTTCATCATTTTGTGAGAACATAAGACCCGGTTCCAACTTCCCCATAGATGCAAGCTCATATGCCTAATTATTGCTCTTGATGAGGGGAGAAAATGTTCGACTAATGCTAGTTATTAGGCCTTAAGTTCTTGGCAAATCATGATAGTAGTAATTTTGGTTTTGGATTGGGGAAATTTATTGCTTTTAGCCTAAAGCAGATGGAAAAAAAAAGGATGATAAAGTTGATCAAAACCTCATGATTCCATCATCCCAAGTTGTTGTGAACTCTGTTTCACTCAACTAGAGAATTTAATCTACCCAACTTGACCGAAAGATCTTTGACAACAATCATATATTATGTCATTTAAGGAAACCTTGAAAAGCCAGGGTGAATGTTTGTCCAAGAGGAAGATTTTAAATTAGCATTAACTGATGTAAGGTTTTATTCCATACTAAATGCCCTCTATAGTTCATCCTCAAGTGATTCAGTCCATTATGAAAATTATTGCATTTGGTCATGACCATAATTTAATAATCATTTTACAACGATCACCAAATCAGAGAGCCACGGTTATAATCGTTCCTTTTGTAGTGCTATTTGGCAACAAAATCACACGTTTAGAGAACATGTTATATCATTATTAGGACGAGAGTTTTAAGACTAATCATAGAGGTACGTTAAAAATAATATTAACACTTTGCGAGCTAATGTTATTTTACATTAAAATTTAAGGGCATCATCAGAGTATATTGATATCTGCAACATTTGTGTCTAAAACTGAAAGCTTCATTTTCAGAGAGGATCCCTCCAACAATTATGTTCAATAAACCAAACCCATCATAAGAAAAGGGTTGTTTGAAAAATGCAATTATTTATTTGCATCATTTAAATATTTAAATATCCTTTGCATTGTAGACAGCATTAACTTCACCCGCTTATACAAAATTTAGAGGATTTGGTATGTCTTGAAATTAAATGTATGATTGCACTTTATTAGCATGTTGATACTAAGAGTTCTTATTTTGAGATGAATTCTCTTTGTAAAAGAGCCATGAAGACCGCATAAATGGAACATCAAATATTTCTAGCAAATTTTGCGGTTGAATATCAAGTTTTCAATCCATTATAATAAGTATATTATATTAGACATAAGAGGAAATCATTCTTAAATATGAGTATTGTAGACTCTAATACTCATTATGTGTAGGATCGAACTTGCAATGTTGGTCGCAACACTAATAGGGGGATTCACTCGAGAACACATGTTTGATACACTTGTAAGTCTGAATTTTCAATTTAAGAGAGTTTGCCAAAATTTTCTAGTTATAGTTGCATGTTTCTCGAGGCAAGACACTTTTCAATTTTATCGGATCTCTCCCTTAGATCATGCAACATTTTCTAACATTCAGTTCAAGCGTTCAGAATGTTCGTTAATGCATTTGCGGACATATTGATTTTAGCAATTTGATGTATTTTGGAATGTGTGCATGCTTCTTGATACCCTTACATAATTTTTAAGGCATATGTGTGATGTGCTTGCACAATTTGGTGCACTCTGATATGCATATGCATGTTGTTCGATACACTTGCATTATTTTTTTATGAATTTTGAAAGTTATCTCGTGATACATATATGTCATTTAATATATATATATATATATAATTAAAATAAAAATATATATATGAAAATTCATGTGTTGTATATATATATATATATATATATATATAAAAGCCCAAAAAGGCTAATATATTAACTAGAAAGAAAAATACAGATACAATGTGTGGGGATGGCCCAAACATGACACCCTGCTCACACAAAAACCACAAGTGGTTCCAAAACTAGAAAATACAGAAAAATTCATTAGAGACTTAAAGAAAAAACCTAAAAGTGTCGAAATGCAAAATATCAGGTGGCTAGAGAGCGATCCAGTCTTGACTCTGCCTCTAGTTCTAAGGGATGAGCAAGCTAATAAGTTGGTAAGATGATTGTCATTGTCAGTAGTAACCAATGTATCATCCAATATGTTCTCGAGCTAGAGTCGACCTCCATTCTTTCCTCATCTGAAGATTGGCTCACCTGATCTTGGTCAAAAGTGTGCTGGAGATGTGCAGGTTTTTGAACATTAGAAGCAACTACATGTTGGACCGACTGATTTGTTATTGGAGGTCAAAAGAGCACTCTTGTGTGTCTTGGCATGTAAGTGAGTCTTCTTCAATAACAGTGAGTGGTATACGCACAACTGGATCTGTAGTTGTAGCATGATGTTGTTCGTCAGAAACTGTGGCGTTGAAAAGTGGATCGGGTTGCGTCTTTTCCACAGGATTGATAGGTGGTCATTTAACGATATCCAGCCTTAGATGAGGATGCAAACGATAGCAAATAGTAGATTTGTGGTCAAACATACTGCAATGAGAGCAATAAGGAGGTGTGATTCGATTTCAACATTTTGTCAATACCCGTTGTGAGTGGTTCTAATCCATATCTCATACAGAGCTGATTGAGGGATATCATTCTCAACTAACACAGAAGCCACAGAGGGTTCGGTGACAGCAAACGTAGGACTATCAACCTTGATATGCTTATCGTAAGCAGTTGCTAAGGAGTAGAGAATTTCTAAGTTGAACAAATGTAATTTTAACCCCGAAAACTTTATCGAAACTAGAATGATAGGAGACTCCGCTTTTGGATCAAAACCAATAGTCCACTTTAGTCCACTGGATCAAAACCAATAGTCCACTTCAGAATTTTCATATAGCGATTGTCGGTCATGATAACATTCCGAGAAAAGATGCGAGTGTAATCGGCATCATGAGACAACTGAATCAGTATGTGTCAACCATCAAGAAACCAATATTCCAACGGCCCAACAGCTTCATAGCCTCAAATTCTTTTCGAATGATCTCAAGTTTTTGGTGACCATAAAGAAATTTTCCCACTATAGCAAATCGCCGCGAAGATGCGAGAGTACTGGTTTCACCCTCTGTGAGAATAAGAGCAGGCTTCCCATTTTTTCTCCTCAATTTTTTAATGAAGGTGCGATCGCCATCATTTTCAAGAGCCTCGTGAAATGATTGTGAAACATTGCAGGATTTATCTATATGAAAACCAGTCTTTAAATATGAAAGAGGAGCACGAGTAGAAATAGGGAAGTCCCTGGCAAGTGCAGTGGCATAGGAACGGATCGTCGATGCCACATCTTCAGAGCAGCTAGGCTGGCCACTAGAAAATGGCGAGCAGACAGGAGTTATGCGGCTCTGTCGAGAGGAGAGGTACCAGCGAGCCGCAGTTAGGGAGCTGTTGTTACGGTCGTCGAGTCGTACAAATGAGGGGAACCAGAGAAGACGGCAGCGGATGAAGGTGTGATCGCCACCATCTTCAAGAGCCTTGTGAAATGATTGTGAAACATTGCAGAATTTACCTATATGAAAACCAGACTCTAAATCTGAAAGAGGAGCACAAGTAGAAATAGGGAAGTCCCCGGCAAGTGCAGTGGCAAAGAAATGGATCGTCGATGCCATCTCCAGAGCAGCTAGGCGAGCCCCTAGCAAATGGCAAGCGGACAGGAGTTATGTGGCTCTGTCGAGAGGAGAGGTACTAGCGAGCCGTTGTTAGGGACGTCGAGTCGTACGAATGAGGGGAACCAGAGAAGACGGCCGCGACGAGCAAGCGTCATCAACGACTTCGCGAGCTAGCGTCAGTGGAGGTTGTTTCGTCTGCTAAGGTTTCAATGATCCATCATTCTATCCATCTCATATATATATATATATATATATATATATATATAATAAAAGCCCTCCCGATTTGATTATTTATAAAAAAGATTTCATTATGAAGGCGCTGCAATATTTCATTCTAAAACTTTAAAGACCACCAGTTGTCTGTTGAGGCATAGGCATTGCAGATTCAATGTCATATTTTTTTACGAGTTTGAATTTTCCATACATTTCAACATCATAATTTATGTCCATATCTGAGTGTATTTTGATGCATTGAGATCTATAGGGATCATTTTCTCTCCTATAAGTAGAATGGACCCTTAATTCAATTTCGCCATTTCAAATCATAGGAATCTTCACTTGCTTAGAAGCATTTGAGAGAGCGTTGAATGTGACAAGAAGGTTCTACTCTTCTCTGTGAGTCACTAAATTTATTGCAAGTTTCCTATAAGTTTGATATTATGAAACACGTTCAACTTTGTTTTTTTTTTTCTTTCAATGTTTTTTATGACACTTGAGTTTGTTTACATTCTTAATTTTGCATTGTATTCACTCATTTAATCACATTCATGTTTATGGTTGTGTGTGTGGGTGTGTGGGTGGGGGGGGGGAAGGTAAGGTTGGAGGGAGATGTTTGTAGCTATGGAACATAATCAGCTACTTAGTTTGGTATCAGTGTTGATTGGTTAAGTGGTTTTTGGTTTGCTGGTGTCGTGCGGAGTTTGGTCGTCGGCATGCTAGGTTGATGAAGATAGTAGTTAGTCAATGTAAAAGGTTTGATGAACTCAAC